GGGGGGGACTCAAATACTGTTCACAATACATTTATACACTGAATGTATACTGTAACATGTTTTGAATATATAAGTGGTGACAGCACCTGAACAGCACTATATATAACTTCAGCTAAATTTATCAATCGTTTCAGTCAGAAAACCAATACATTGCCAGTGGCGTGGCCAGCCCAACGATTTGGTCCAATTATGCAAATTTCAACTCATCATTATTCAATTCTTTAGAAATTGATTGTGTTGATAGTTTATAAACATGGCATACAACCTCGTTCCCAGGCTCTTTGTTCTTGGGAAGCAAAGACCTGGTCGGAGCTGGTCACGTGACCCATAGAAAATTGATAGCCCAAGAGGGGGATGGAAAAGTCTCATATTACATGTTTCCACTTCCGCAGTTCACAGTTCAATTGCAAGGAGTGGCCGTTCTGTACAATCATCTAATTCATCTTCGAGAATCATATATACCTCAAACTACTTGCTGAATTGGTTTCTGTTTGCTTTTAAATTATACAAACATGCTAAAATGCAGATCTTATAGCAACAGAAAATTCAGGAAATCAACCAACGAGAACGTATGACTGTGCCGTCTGACAGTACGCTTTGAAATATTTTTATTTTCTCGGGGTTCGCCGGTTCGGGCGTAGTTAAATTTCACGCGTACGTTTCTGTTCTGGCTCTGATATTTATAATATGCTTATAATATGCCAATGAATTGTTCTGATATGGACACGGTATAAATTTTGTTAAACAGACGTCTCAAAATCGACTGTTTATAGGTCGTAGGATTATAAACGTGACACATTTGGACACAAGCCAAATACACATTGAATGTCCATTCTATTGATTCTAAAACTGTTTATAGACATATTGCTCTAGATTTTTTTTAAAAGGTTATCATCGTTTATATTAAACACCAGGAAGATAAAATATAACGTACAAAATTGTTTGAAATCGACTGTGCACAGCTGACATACGACAATTCACAACTGCATGAATTTCCTTTTTTGTCTGCACGAGTACCTGTTTGTTGAAGCCAAAATATTGCACAGCATCTCCTATAAATTATATCGCTATTTACCCTCTCCCCTTAAATGCAAAGGAATGACAGCACAAAAGGTTTAGCAAAGTATTTTTTATTACATCTGGTATAAAGTGTCCTACGTTTTATCAGGGATACACATAATTCATAAACTGTATATGATGCACACGTACGAAGTCTCGCTTATGTTAATGAGTTTTACTGTAACAAAGACCTAATAAACCTTTTAAAGTTTCCATTGATAGATAGGTTGTTTGCCTCCAATATTTTTTGGTAAAACAGATTAAACTTCTAAAATGTCGCTTACAGAATACGTTAAGGATTAAAGTTGATTTAAATATTGATAACTCACAGCGGCACTAATCCATTATACAAGTCTAAAAAAGCTGGATTATTCTTCAATAAAGCCCTCAATGGACAATGCCAATGTCAATGAAAGGTCTAATATTATACATGTTGCAAATTACTGTATACACAAAATATGAAATAATTTATATAAAGTACAATACCAGTGTTTGGTGCATATATCGTCCCAGATATTCAAGTTGTACCGCACGCACGGAAACGCACGGAGGAGTCTTGGCGTTTGTGTGATAACAGATAGCTAGCTACACTTCGACATTACTTTTCTTGATCGTTGAGTTTCAGCAATGTAAATGAAATGAATTTTATAGCCAGTCCATAACGGGTTTTAATCGAGGTTTTAATCCTGTGCTTTAGCCTTTTACAGTCAAAATAGCACTATTGTTTACACATGTTGGCGATGTTTGGGAAATCAAAGGATCCCGTTATAAAATAAATCTTTTGTTTTGAATATCAGACAGGATACACTTCAACTATAAAGAACCATATCGTTCGTTTAATACCGTTTGATCGATCAGTCTGTGTAGAAGATATGTATGTTTCTACGGCGATACGTGCTAAACTTCGCAAGCCAGGCGCGTGTGGAGTGTTTTCCTTGCAAGTGAAATATGATCCAGCTTCTCGCTTGAAATGTAACGCAACACTTATTATTGATGACATTCAGTATAGCAGGAAGTCTTGTCATGATCGGTACGAATTTAGAGCAGTTCCTTTCACAATCTCTTGTTGCAAATTACATTTTTATCACTCAAAATTATAACACATAAAGTTGCAATTTTCCAAACGCAACAAACAGTCTCCTCTACTGCCCCTCCCTGAGGTCAAATTCAATTTACCCCCAAAATCTGGGGGTTCACGTGACCAGCTCCGACCAGGGTCTTTGCTTCCCAAGAGCAAAGAGCCTGGGAACGAGGTTGCATCTAAAATTGATCCTGTCGTAAGTGTTCTACCGGCAACCATGCAATCGACAATATTTCATTTTAGCGTTGGCTTTGCCGTTACGTTGGCTTAGCGATGCTTTTGTTTTAAATACCTTGAAAAGGCTTGATCGCGTTAAAAGTGTTATTTTCTGGTTTAAATCGAGTCGACCGTGGGGAAGGGGCTGATTACATGGACGCAGTGGCGTAACGTTATATCAGGGGGCCCCCGGTTCAAAATATTCGAAGGCCCCCTCTAGTAGAAGTGCTAAAGTCACGAGTCGAGCGCCGTATATGCACAGGTTTTCTAGGGGGTCCAGGGCATGCTCATCCGGAATATTTTTTTAATCTAGACTCTCTGAAATGCCATTTCCTGGACTTTGGGGAGAGATTTTACAGAATTCTGTTGGTCAGAAAACGACATTGTAACATATCAGAGAGGCCCTGGCCAATGTTTTTGCTCTATCGCCTAAGCTTGGGGCCCCCATTTTGACCCATTGTGGTTGGAGCCCCCGGGTTCTCCCGGTCTGAGCCCATAGCCTAGTAGTTACGCCACTCACGAAAATCTTCCTTGGGCCGCAAAATGAGTTTTGAATCAGGTTTAGGATGATTTTGCATCTATAATAAACCAATTATTTATCGCAAATTTATTTTACGCGAGTTTTAAAACCACAGTAAGGTCCTAAACAAACGAGTCAGCCCGGTTAACCGGGCCAGCCCGGCACCATGTAATCAGCACCTAATTGTTGAATATTGTTCTTTGAGAAACGTTTTGCATATTCAAATGAAGATTGAACAGTTGAATACTTTGATATGTATATTCTAATTCTCAGTCCAGTCTCAGCTACATGTTCCAGTTCAACTTTCCAGCGCAGAGTGCCAGAACGCGTCATTTGGATGCGTAGTCGAGACCTCGAATTGGTCTGTTAGTTTTGATCCATCGGCTGCTTCATGACCAGACCTGAAATTGCCAGCTACGTCTGTGTGCTTCAATGCTTTGTCTTGGATAAATGTGGGATATTTTATACCTTTTTCAATAAAAATTCCGGATACCAAAAGCAGTGTTGTTACGAGTCGAGTCTACAGCCCCAAATAACGCGACTCGGAGTCGATTTGTTGATTTCTGCAGTAAATGACTCAATTCAACTCGGCTACAACTTGTTCAGGATAAATTCGTCAAAAATATTGTAGTTGAATAGGTTGGGAAGAATCCTGAAAGAGTTTGAAGAAATAAAAAGTAATTCTCTATGCGGATAGGCATGTTTCCACTTGTAGGGAAATTTTTAAAGGCATTTTTGTTCACCTTTTCGTTCACCATACAATTCGTGTAACCATGGCCATTATTGACTCATCACTTCAGTGATGCCATTGACTCGACCAGGTAGTGAAATGATTCGACTTGAATCGAACTTTGGGTGACTCGAGCTGTTGGTGACTCGTTACAACACTGACCAAAAGTAAAATGGCTCTTATAACATCACACCTGATATAATTACTGCGTGGGGTCGACTTATAGTTTCGAAAGAGTTTATGCAGAAACTACATCATGCCATCAATTGGTCTGTTTTATATGACACTATCTCACTCATTTTTTATCACCCCGGGCTCCAGAGGCTTCAGAGATTTTCCTGGCCTGGCTAGATTTTCCTTTTTTTAAAAAAAATCAAACAACCTCTGAAAACCTCTGGCATCCACGTTAATTCCTGATAGTAATATTTCCAAACTGTCTTGGAATCACATACCCATGTGATTCCAAGACAGTTTGGAAATATTACTATCAGGAATTAACCTGGATGCCAGAGTTTTTCAGAGGTTGTTTTTTTTTGTATATGTATAAAAATACGTACAACAACAACAAGCCATCACAGTTCTTTTTTATAAACCTAGATAACTACAGATTTACATTATTGTACTTACGACGAACGTTGCTGCCAAATGAGATGTGTTCTGCAATGTTTTATTTTAAGTTGCGTATTACTGCCATTAAAAGCCATGTTATAATAAGAGGTAACTTTTGCTGCAACGTGCAACGCAGTACATCCTTTCGGAAAGTACTCAGCCTTAGCTATAGAGACTTTCATTTGAGATACAGGGTTTGGTGCATGTCCTAATTTATCTTGTTACAGATGTACACATTTACGAAATCATTCAGTTATATTAAATATTGTGAAACTCATAAATAATTCATGAAGGAAACACAAAAGAAATCATGACCGTGAATTAAGGAGTTTGTACACATGATACAAAATCACATAAACTTTAAGTTCAATTTTCTCACCAAATATCATTCATTTATTTTAAATTGTTAAAGAATACGAATGTTTTCATCAAGACATTTCACAAGCCATTTGTAACGCTCACGTTGTATTTCCGATACAACACGGCAGCTCATGTTGAAAGTAGTACACATAAAACACTTTTATAGTAATTAGGTCATCAGTAACAAGATAAAGGACACTAAAGCCGATATCCCAATCCTGGAAACAAGGCTCTGAAGCGAAGGCTAAGTACTTTTCTGTTTTCGCAAAGTCTTTTTCAAAGACGTCATTTTAGTCATTTTTCGCGGTTCATCATCTCATCTTCAATTTCCCAATAAAACAAGGGGAAAATTCTGAAGTGGACTAGTGGCAAGTCTGGTGCTTTCCGGAAGGGTCTATTTCTGACATAGAGGCAAGTTATCTAAAAAGTAGGAGATTCAAAGGAGATTCAAAGCGTGACCCACACTTTACTCGGCCGACATTTTTTGTCCAATATCTTTGGCTCTGTATCCGAAATTGTATTGCATGCACGTCGGACAAAAAATTGCCTCTTTAACATGCGCTTTAGCACTTTATGAGGCTTTCTTACGACTACAGTACATCAGCTACGCCATAATATTACCAGCATATATGAATAAATCCCATCATTAATAATTTAGTAGTATGATTATTACTGAATCAAAATCGTGTCCAACTCCCATCATGCCGACATGGAGCAAGTGAGCAACGCTTAATTCCCTATGCCATAGTCTCCCTATATGCTTCAGTTGCTAGTTGTCATCATGAATGATCATGCATGCGCAGGTTTAAGCGCAATTTTGAACGATCACTGTTCGTTTTCTTTGCACTCAAAACTTTTCCATGGACATATTTATACTGATTTTAATCAGTCATAATTTAAAAATTGTCTATTCCATATTTTCTTCATTATAGTTCGGGAATAATTGTTCAACAACATTATACCGTTGTCTCATGTCTTCACAAATCGCATTAAACTGAACACCAAATTCCATCAAGGAGCACTTTCTTTCCTGAACATCTAGTGTATAACCCTGCGTGTGCATCGCAACGATGTTTCCATTCAGATCAAAAACAGGAGAACCACTAGCACCAGAAAATAGACTTGTGTCGTATGGAAGGCATTCCCGAAATCTTTCATTAGATTCCAGAATTTCTGGAGTTGTCATATGCACACCAGCACAAATTGCATGCCTTTGCTGGAGTCTCTCACGCCACAAGTGATTTCTAACAACAACGCATGTTTCTTCTTGCATTTTGCTTCCTGGTGGATGATGACCAACGATAATGACGAGACCTTCGTGTAATGGACGACTTCTGACGATTGTACCAAGACGAACGCGGTCCTTAAGACCTTCGTTTTCTCTCAAACACAAAAATTTGTAATCCAGGTGGAGACTCTCAAGTTGAGGATCACGTCCTTCATCAACTTGGACAATAACAAAATGTTCTGTTTGTGCAGAGTAGAAATAATCGAATGTAACTGTGATGGGCAAGTTCAAATTTTGAAGCTCATCTCTTTCCTGATTGATCATCATGTAAACATGGAGATTAGTTATCACCAGCGTGTCATTCACAAGCCAACATGTTCCTCGAATTCTTCCACACGAAATTTGACCGATAGATTTCATGTAAGATGCCAAATGTTCATGAAGTATCGCAGGCTTTGTAGTTGAAATATTTTTGAATACCTCATCTCTTGCAAAGTTGAAAATTTGTGTGTCGGTATCTACAAACTTTCCGTCATTTCTTTCAAATTTATTTTTATTCCGTGGATTCAACAGGTTTTCGTACGCTGACGATTTAACATTTGCTGTCATCGATTTACGAACTTTTTCGGTTAAAGGTTGCTTACTCGAGGCATGATGAGTATATACATACTTAGCGGGAAATTCTTTTATATATTCTTCAAGACGAACCAAGTCTTCGTTTGCTAAACTTTTAGTTCTGCTTGGGTAACATGCTTCTACAATCACCGAGTTTACCGATTTTACTAAAAAGATTAAAATTTGAACTTAATTCAAATAATAAGATATATCGTTGATTCGTTCCTACACATAGTTATGCAAAGTTGTTAGTATAAATCTACGTGTAAGTGGCTCACCTTCTTGAAATGTTTCTTCGAATGCTTTCGTTTCTCGTCCTGTACGAGAATCTATATTATAGAAAGAAACATTATTATTAACGCCCGTATTCTAAAAGCTCACTCACACTCCATGAGTGGAAGTTCAATCTGAGCTTCTCTCGAGTGTCAATGCTGTTTTTTAGCTGAAGGGCTAGTGTCATATACCTTACTATGCGACTACTCTCAAGGGAAGCTCAGACTGAATCTCCACTCATTGAGTGTGAGTGAGCTTTTAAAATACAGGTGTAAGTAATGATTATCAGACAAATCAACACGAAAGATTTTCAGTCCTCTTTTCGCTGGCTACTCTGATTTTTGGATTAATTTGCTAATAAGCAGATTAGCGAGTGGACAAATGACTGGTAAACCGTTCAGCTTCGTTTTGCACATTTCAAAGGTCTATAATTTCGCTTCAATAACAGTCGCTGTTGAAAAATCGTTTATTATCCTAGTAATGCATAAAATAATGCAAAGTTGTGGTAGTTAGTTTTCGAATTTACCAAGTATAGTCACATTTACCCGGTGTTGGTGAGGACAACATTTTCTTTGTAGACTTTTTGTGCTGGTGCGTAAGTTCGATTGGTTCATCTATAAGATGAGAATCAAAGTACAATTTTCAAAATTTTAAAACATGCAAAAATATACCGTATACAATATTTGCCAAGGAAAATTGAAGTCAGTCATATGACTACTACATAAAAAGCATTTATATTTTTATATTAATCGTCAAAAATAAATACCTAGCCCGCGTGCAGGTCCAAGGTGCACGCGGGCTAAATAAATACCTGTTTCACTACCTTTAGCCAACGTTTGAGCTTCTTGAATCTCCTCAATTGCCTTTTTAGTATCTCCAAGATTGAACCAGGCAATTCCCAACCCTGTTAGAAGCCTTTCTTTCAGAATATCATCATTAACCTCTGTTCTAACAATATACAGTGCCTTTTCATACCATTCTATCGCCATCTCGTAATCACAATCTTTCCCGCAAACTGTTGCCAAATTTAAACATGATGTTCCTTCACAATGTCTATCACCAAGTTCCACAGCAACTGTCAAAGCTTCTTGGTAATATTCCTTCGCCTTCTTATAATTACCAATGTTGCAGAAGATATTTCCGATCGCTTGGTTTGTGCGATATTCTTGATATTTTTCTCCAACTTGTTTGGCAATCTCTTTCGCGTTCTCGTAAAATGGTATTGCTTCTTGACGTTGACCAGCGATAAAAAGGCAACAGTAGCCGCACCATTCATCGATAATTCCCTCCAGAACTTTCTCCTTCGTTTCTTTGTCAATGCTTAGTGCTTTTTGGTACGATTTAATGGCTTTCTTGTGTTTCTTTAATTGTCGAAAGGCGTGGCCGAGCATGAGACATGCGTTGGCTTCGTCTTTTTTATCACCAAAATCAATAGAAATTTCTTCAGCTTTGAGATACGATTTGACAGCTGCATTAAACTTACAACTCTTGTATTGTACATGTCCTAAGTTTGTATAAGCTTCTTTTTCAAGACCTTTGTGATTCAGCTCTTTTGCCACTGTGATGGCTTTTAAGAAATACTTTTCTGAGGATTCGAAGTCGCCAATATAACTGAACGCACTTCCCAACCCTATGCTAGCATTGACCGCTCTCGTTTTGCACCCAAGCTGTGAGGAAAGTTTTACGACTTCGTTGTAATACTCTATTGATTCTTGGTACTGACCAGCTTGCAGGTGGTTGTAACCTAACCATTGATATGCTATTACTTCCATCTCATCTGCTTCGAGGCCTGCATATATTTGTCGTGACTTCTGATAATACTCGATTGCATTCCAGTATTCGGACGTTCCAGTAAATACATTTCCCAACAATTGATAAGCTTTCGCTTTGATATTATTGTGATCTGTTTCATCCGCAATTAGAACTGCTTGATCGTAGCTTTTGATGGCCTCCTCACTTCGACCTTCTGTTTGGTAAGAACGTCCCAAGATTAACAACTGTTCTGCAGACGCAATTCTAGGATTAGTGATACTTCTGTTTTCAATGTCTGTTTGTTCCACATTATCAAGATTTTCATCATGAAGTTGAACGTCGTCTGATGAATTACAGTTTTGAATGCTATTAGTATTGTAATCATCATTGACTGCATCTAAATCTAAACAATAAAATTACAGTTATTTTAACATTCCCGCGATTTTGAACGTCAAAACAAGGAAAGGCTTGTTTGCGTGTATTAAAATTGTTATATTTAGCGAAGCTATAAATACATACAAAAAGTGAAAATTTGTTACTCAAGATGTCCATGGGCAGCTGCATTCGACGGTTTGCTAAACTTGGGCTTAACTTTGGGATTATATGCTGAGTTACCCTACTTTGGGTTCAGAGGTTTTTTGGTGTCAGGCCAGAAAACCTCTGAACCCAGGGTAGGGTACTCAAGCTTGGCCAGCACCGTCTGAGTGCAAGCTACAGCTTTAGCGAAACAGGAAACCCCTGTTCCAGGGAAGAGTTACCCCTTAGGACTTCTCTAATAATTCTTACTAAGTTTAAGATAATCTCAAGTTTTCACTTGAACCGAACACATTTTCGCTAATTTGCAAGAAATTTGAACATTTAATTTTTGTACATAACCATGGGCTAACGAACCAGGAGATGCTTATACCTCACAGTCACATACCTGCAATTCTTGACAATTCTTCAATTGCATTCCTCGAAATATTTCCTTTTTGTTTATTTTCTAGCTCCTTTGCAATTTCTAAGGCTTGCTTATGGCATTTAATTGCCGTTTGAAACTGATTGTTCAATCTATAAACAACTTCTAACCCAAGGTATGCCGTTTTCTCCTGATGTTGATCTTTTCGTTCTTTTGCAATTTCCAAGGCTTGCTCGTAGTATTTAATTGCCGTTTGAAATTGATTGTTGAATCTATAAGCTTTTCCTAACCCAAAGTATGCCCTTGTCTCCTGATATTGATCCTTTCGTTCTTTTGCAATTTCCAAGGCTTGCTTGTAGTATTTAATTGCCGTTTGAAATTGATTGTTGAATCTATAAGCTTTTCCTAACCCAAAGTATGCCCTTGTCTCCTGATATTGATCCTTTCGTTCTTTTGCAATTTCCAAGGCTTCCTCGTAATATTTAATTGCCGTTTGAAATTGATTGTTGAATCTATAAGCTTTTCCTAACCCAAAGTATGCCCTTGTCTCCTGATATTGATCCTTTCGTTCTTTTGCAATTTCCAAGGCTTCCTCGTAATATTTAATTGCCGTTTGAAATTGATTGTTGAATCTATAAGCTTTTCCTAACCCAAAGTATGCCCTTGTCTCCTGATATTGATCCTTTCGTTCTTTTGCAATTTCCAAGGCTTCCTCGTAGTATTTAATTGCCGTTTGAAATTGATTGTTGAATCTATAAGCTTTTCCTAACCCAAAGTATGCCCTTGTCTCCTGGTATTGATCTTTTTGTTCTTTTGCAATTTCCAAGGCTTTCTCAAAGTATTTAATTACCGTTTGAAACTGATTATTTACTCCATAAGCATTTCCTAAGCAAAGATATGCCGTTGTCTCCTGATCTCGATCTTTTCGTTCTTTTGCAATTTCCAAGGCTTAGTATTTAATTGCCGTTTCAAACTTTCTCCATAAGTTTTTCCTAACCCAAAGTATGCGCTTAGCTCCTGGTCTTCTATTCCTTGTTTTGCAATTTTTAACGCTTGCTCGTATTTAATTGCCGTTTCAAACTTTTTCTCATAATCCTAACCAAGTATGCGTTCTCCTGTTTGTTTTCTTGTTTTGCAATTTCAAGGCTTGCTCATAGTATTTAATTGCCGTTTCAAACTGATTCTTCCTTCTATAAACAACTCCTAACTCAAGGTACGCCGTTGTCTCCTGATTTTGGTATTTTCTTTCTTTTGCAATTTCCAAGGCTTGCTCATAGTATTTAATTGCCGTTTCAAACTGATTCTTCCTTCTATAAACAACTCCTAACCCAAGGTATGCCATTGTCTCCTGATCTTGATCTTTTCGCTCTTTTGCAATTTCCAAGGCTTGCTCATAGTATTTAATTGCCGTTTCAAACTGATTGTTCAGTTCATAAGCATCTCCTAACAAAAGGTATGCCATTG